TTTTGGGCTCCTTTGCCGTGATACTTGCTGCTGCTGTTGGCGGTTGCCTCGCCTGATTGAGCACTTTTGTACGAATTTTATATTAAACACCACCAGCCAAACAATCACTTTGGATGCCAAACTAGGAATGGCGGCTAATGACGCTGCAATAAAGGCGGCAACCTATCTCCCCACCTAATTGGAGAAATTCTCTCACTCAGACTTGACTAACCTGGTTGTTCTGTTTGTAATTTAGCCATCCCCTGGCTTCTTCTTAATTTTTTAAAAGGAAATGATAATTTGAAATATTTGTTTGTCAGCGGGACTGACTTTATAAAATTTCGTCAGTAGAGATTCGGAAGGTTGTCGCAAGCAAGAGGTTCGGCGAAGTTGGCCTGGAGGTGCAACAGAACCCTGCGCAGCGACCTAAAGTAGTGGTGAGCAATTTAGACACGGCTACGCCGTCAGCCGAGTTTATGAAGGAGCTCTTTAAGAACAATTTCGCCGAAGTGATGGACTTGGCTGCCTTTGAGAAAGCGGTGCACCTGGAGAAGCCGTGGACTGCAGCTGATGGCGCCACAGTAAATGTGACGCTTGAAGTGAATTCCACTGCTTTGGAGATACTGGACGGAGGCAAGGCGTATATCGGCTGGTTTGCTTATAACTGCCGAGCGCTGGTGCGCACATATGCGTTGGCTTTGACCACAAAGTCGCGCAGTGCCGGTATAAGGAGAACGTGTGCCGCCAGCGCGGACAGGCCGGCCACAGTGCGCGAGGCTGCACAAATCCGACGGACTGCCGGAATTGCCGATTCAAGGGCTACCCGTTGCTGTCGCCGGGTTGTCCTGTGTATGCGGCGGTGCTGGCAAGGGTGAATGCCAGACATTAATGTTTAGCTTCATCCAAGCAAACTGTGGTCGTGGCGAAGTTGCGATGTCCGACGCTTTAGACAGAATGTGATAGTCAAAATGCCTGTTCGCACTGCTACAGGAGCCGTACCTCGGAGCCGAGTTTTTGGAAAGGCTGCCCGCAGGGCAAAGCCTCTTTTCTGATCCGAGTGGAAACGCACCCATTGCTGTGGACCATCACGATGTCATCTGCGTGCCAGTGGAGCCCCTCACCACTGATTTTGGACTATGCGTGAAGCTGCAAGGGAGTTTTGGCTCAATCTTCCTTTGCTCCGCATACTGTCGGGTCGGTTTTCCGCTAGAGCCGTACCTCAGATACATGGATGCCTTCCTGCTGCAAGTCAGCAGAACTCCCGCAATCCTTGGACTGGATGCGAATTCAGCATTCCCCATGTGGTTAAGCAAACTCTCGCTTTGCTGAGAGACACGCAAACTACTCCCGGGGTGAGCTGCTGTCTGAGTGGATACTGGAGAAGGGAGCCATTGCCCTTAACTAGCCTAGCGAGGTTTACACGTTCAATAACATAAGAGGATTCCACAGCGATATTGATATCAAGTTATCAGTACACAAAACTAAATTTTAACTTTCCATAAATTTTCTTTTGCAGGAATTTGCCGTTAAATATTAAAACACAAGAGGCAAATTTAATTCTCTTACAAATAATTAACGGCGATTTCCTGCAAAAGAAAATTTTCGAAAAGTTTAAGTTAATGGGGGTGTACTGCTTAGCTTGATATCAAGTTAAAATAATTTACGGATAATTTACGGCAATTCCGTGTAAATAAAATAAAATGTTGAAAAAGTTAAAGTTTAGTTTTGTGTATATAGAACATTGGATAACTTTTAAAACAATTGAGCGGAAAATTTTTTTCCCTTACAAATTACAGATAATTAACGGCAAATTATGGTTAAAACAAATTTTTGATTTTGAAAATTGTACTGCTACTTTCATGGACATGGCGGAAAAGTCGTCATCCGCAACAGCCGAACGTGAAGGGCTGGAGCGGAAGGGCCGGCAGAAGGACGACGCTGCCGCTGAGAAATATAGGGACGGGGTCGCCTCGATGACAGGCGGTCGACCGATATTTGCAATCGATGGGTACTAGAAAATACTGGATTTCTTAATGAACGGTCACACCGATGCAGTCCTGGCAACTTATGACAACGATATCGATAATAGCAACGACAATGACAATGCTGAACCACACTATCGATAAACGCGAACGGGACGTGTTGAGTAGAGTGGCCAGATTACGGGAATCGAACTAGTGATTTCACAACGGGGAACTGTCTGGGCGGGAAATTCAAATTCCACCCTGGGAACTCTCTAGGGAACGAGATGCAGTTTTAGGTAAGTTAAAGTCTTCCGGGGAACTGTCTGGGTAACTGAGAAAGGGCTAACGCAGCGCAGCCGTGAGAAAGTTAAAGGACTTTCAGGGCGCTTGCTAAGGGAAGTCTTACGGAGAACAGTCTGGGAAAGTTTTGGGGAACTGTCTGGGGATCACAAGGAGAACGAGTTTGGCGGGGAATTTGACAGAACGAAGAAAGGGGGAAATGTGAGGAATTTTGATTTTATAAAAATGTTCTTGATAATAAAATATTTTTCTGTTGGTGTTTTAGTTAGTGAACAAAATTTGTATGTTACGCCGCCCAGAGTAGAAGGTTCATCATTTTAGTTGATTTTCCGAATGAGTTCGATGGTTTTAGGTTTATAGGTGTGCATGGTGATTTCACCGTATTGTTCCCATGGGAGCTATGGGATATAAATGTCCGATCAGCACGCGCATTTACCCTGGAAAAAATACGATACGTCAATAGCTTTTACACTGTGCGAAATATCTTCAGTTCCTGCAAATTATATATAATTTTTTCTATGGGAGAAATGAATGCTAGTACCATTTTTTATTACATTCTCAATTGAGAAATGCTACCAAAATAAAATATCGTCAGATTTTTCAAAAGTAATGCCAACATTTAAATATTTTATATCACAAGTTTTGGGAAATCTAATGAAATATCCTTTTAGTAGGCTTAGCGTATGCTAACCTGCTGCCGGAATTGTTCTTCCCACTATGCCCACTGACGCTAATTCGATGGTGAAGCATTGCCTTGATGCTGCTTCGAGGGTCGCGAGCGAGCTTTCCTAAATAAGGGAATTGCCGATTCAAGGGCTACCCGTCGGAGCATCATATGCTGTCGCCGGGTTGCCCTGTGTAAATTAATGGATTGTGTTCTTTATATTTTTATATTTCCTTTATTTCCATACACCCGTTAGGGCATAGGTTAATTATTCGGATTTATAACGAAGCTTAAGCCCCAGAGTACAATTTTAGGCTGACTGATAAATTACCGCGGCTGCAACTCCAGGCCTCCCTTGGGCGACGACGCAGTCGCGTTAGTGCAGGGTCAGCACTTTGTGTCTGCCCAGAAACGATCACTCGTCGCAGGCGTGCTGGAGTTGGGCAGGCAGCGTTAGCCCCGGAATGCGCTGTCAGCTAATTTGGCCTTGCGCGTGTGGGCTATTGTATCCGGTGCGCAATTCGGCAGATTTTCTGCATTTCGGTTGCGCGTGTTAACTCCTCCCGCCTTTAAGTGGTCGCCGTCCCGGTGACCTGTCGCCTCCACGTCGCAGTTGTTTCTAGTTTTGAGGCTGTGCTTGGCTGTCCGATGATGATGGATGAGCCAGGCCGCAAAGCATAGAGAGATAGCGGCGAAGAAAATTACGGCATTGGTGGTAAACGATCCGGTTGTCATCCTTTCTCTCAGAGCGCCGATGTGGTGGAGATTTGTTAGGCTCAGTTCATGGAGTAACGGAAGACTGAGTCGATTTTGGTGGGCCGTACTGTTTACCAAGGTCATGGCTGAGACAGCGGGTTTCTTTCTTGAGCTTCCCAGTTGGTAAGTGTACCAAGTTCCATTTATTGATAGGCTGTTAGAGTACGTTACAAGGTACGAACCGGATATTTCTTGTTTAAGCCCAAGGTCGTCGACTATAGTCACTTTGGCATCGTTGATGATAAGGGTACCATGATCTATTGTGGTAACCGGATCTAAATGCCCAGGTAGGGTGGAGCACTGTGGAGTGACCCCAGAAACCATTTGCTGTGCGCAGGTGTCGCCTTGCAGTTTCTTGCAGAAAGTAGCGCCTACTGTGGCCATACAGCTTCCGATGTTGACGATTCGTGTTGCGCATTCGGCGACCAAGTCCCCATTTTCGAAGTTCAGAATTTTGTTGTTGTGCTGAACTGGGTAGACTGTAATTTTTCTACATACTAACTTAGAGTTAGGAAATTTAATAAGGAAATGGATTATTTCAGAATTTTGAAAAACGCTTATGCTAGATACTTCTAAAATTTCTACTAAACTGATGTTAGCGGGCTGTTTGTTCTTGAATTCGCTAATGTCGCTGTTATCTAGGATGGCTGGGCTTACAATGTTAAGCTTTGCTAGGGTTAGGCCCATCAAAACATTTTCTAGGTCTGTGATAACTATTCTGTTTTTTGCCAAGATGATTTCTAAAAGATGTGCTTCTTCGTCTCTGTCTACGTTTTGACTTTGATTCATGGAATTTATAAGTGCATTTAATCTTTCTTGAAATTTAATATTTAATTCAGTTTGCCCTTCCTCGGTGTTAAATAATTGCTCCTGATTGAATTTAATTTTTTCCCATTCATCAAAGTCGGGGGTTCCCGCAATAACCTTGAGTGCTGTTCCGACAAGGCTAATGCTTCTAGTATCCCTGTGATGGATTTTCAGGGTAGCGACCAGTTTGCGAATATGTCTTAGATCCGTAATTATTACCTGCGTCCTATGGTCGTCTTTAAGAGTTTCTGTCATTGTTTCTGTTTGGTCCGCATAGTCTTCGTAGGATGTCAAGTTTGTAACGTGTTGTAGCTATCCGTAACTGTCCCAGATTACCATGTCACCGTCTACTATTGGAATGTAGTCCGCGTTCGTGTAGGTGTTGAGTTCAACTGTCGCGTTTGTCGTTACAGCCGTAAGTGTAAGTAGTAAGAAATATTTCGTAAACCTACAAGAAAATTTGAAAGTGATAAATTTAATTTAGATTGTTTTATATATATATCTCTTTATTTTTCATACTCAGATTGAATATGTCCTTTAGCAAGTCAGAAGAAGTGGACGGAAGCCATAACCATGAGTTACAGATCGTTGGTAAAGAATGGATTTTTTAATTATTTGCGCGACTTCTGTCAACGCAATAGTGCCCTGAGCTGGCCGGAAATCGCAAGGGAGGGGGCCCGGTCCTGGAAACATCTGAGCGAGGAGGAAAAGAGTCGCTACCAAATCATGTCCAGCACTGACACGGACATCGTTGCCTTGCAAATGAACAATGAGATGTGCAACCATCCAATGGGCAGAATGGGCGGCGGCATGAAGGGGAAATCTTGCGCCAAGCCCAGAAAAGCCTCTGCTCGGCAAAAGAAGTCCTGTGCCATGCAGCGAAGAAAGATGGCCTGTGCCAAGCCCAAAATAAGGGCGGTCTGTGTCAAGCCCTGAAAGGCGGCCTGTGCTAAGCCCAGGAGGTCGGTTTGTGCCAGGCCAAGGAAGTCGAAATGCGAGAGCAACTGCACCAAGCCGGGTCCAGTCATCAACAACGGGTATCTGAACTTTGTGCGTGAGTTCCGCAAGAGGAACTGTGACCTCAGTCCACAGAAACTGATCGCGAAGGCCGCCCGAGCTTGGCAGTGTTTGCCCGAGGAGGAAAAGGATCGCTTTCGCCGCATGGTAAGTCGTTTTCGTAAGCTTGGACTTGAATATAGGTTTTATTTCGCTCCCTTACAGGCCTGCAGGGTGGCCACCAGTCCGCGTCATAAGCGTCGCCGTGTTTGCAATATGCACTGAAATTCCCTCGATCGATCGAGTCATGCCATAAAATCCATTGAAGTCCACGTATCCTGTTTGATGAGTTGATCATGCGACTTCTGCCTGCAGGTCGAGATAATTTTTAAAAATATATTATTTCGATAATAAATGCCTTAAATCCATCTTATAACTACAAGATACACTGGTTTCTAAGATTTATAGCCATGGGATATGCCAATTATGTGACTATTCTGGTTTGTTTAACTTAAATAATCGTTTTATTAAACAATTTGATTATTTTTTGTGGTATTGAACAGAAAGCAGTTAGGGTTGAGGCATTTGAAGTATGCTTTAATAAAATATACTTTTGATGGCTTCAGAATATGTAGAATGGTTCAAAGGCATGTAATAGAAAATAAATCAGTGAAAACAAACAATCCAACGATCAAAGTTCCAATTTTGGTTTAATGCAGTGTAATTGAGGAATGAAAGATGAAATTTAATAGAATTAAATGTACGGGAGGCTGAGAACATCTTGGTTGGCAGTGATGTTGGAGTTCTCTTCTGGGCGTTAGCGTGATTGATGAACAGGTTTTCATTTATCATGGCCTGTTTATCGACACAACTCTGCGGTCTCTGGGGCAGGCACTCACTACATCAGTTTCCCTTCATGCAGGACAAACTAATTTTATTGCACTTAATAGTGGGCATAGTGGACAAAAATGGGCAGTTGAGAGGGGAGCGCCAATAACGATCTACTTTTATATATATATCTCTTTGTTTTTCATACTCAGATTGAATATGTCCTTTAGCAAGTCAGAAGAAGTGGACGGAAGCCATAACATGAGTGACAGATCGTTGGTAAAGAATGGATTTTTTAATTATTTGCGCGACTTCTGTCAACGCAATAGTGCCCTGAGCTGGCCGGAAATCGCAAGGGAGGGGGCCCGGTCCTGGAAACACCCGAGCGAGGAGGAAAAGAGTCGCTACCAAATCATGTCCAGCACTGACACGGACATCGTTGCCTTGCAAATGAACAATGAGATGTGCAACCATCCAATGGGCAGAATGGGCGGCGGCATGAAGGGGAAATCTTGGCAACCCCCAATAAAATTCAAAAGCTCATTTTCTCCTTGGATGGTAAGTAAACAAAATAAAATCTAACTAATTAAATTTTTATATTAATATATAAATCTGTATTTCTTAGAAGACGACTTTGTGATGGAAACCCCGCAAAACAGCGGGGACCCATAGCAGGAAACCCGCCAAAGGACCAAATCGAAGAGCTCAAGGTTTGGGTTCGAGATTGGCAGGGAAAAGTGGATGCAAATACAAAGACCCTAGAAGCTAATACGAACCAGTTAGCTGAGTGCACCCAGCAGATTGAAAGTCCAAGGATGCAGAGGTACACGATTCGTTCCCGATCCAAAGTGAGGAGCAGCTGGTGACGTTGGAGCTTAATATATGGTCGTCTACTAAAACCGTCTATAGTAAAATATTTATGAAGAAAATGACACGGTATGGGCCAAGGAGCACCATCTTTCCAAGGCAGCAGAAGGATTCGCGGCGAAACTGGCCTCCAGATACGACTCTCCGGTAGTCTCAACTAATCCTGCGTATCGCAGGAGCAATGTACCCTAACCGAAGAAAGGGGGAGGACGATACACGGTATCGAAATTAACGGTCAAGCACACACACACACATCAGGAGCGCGAGAGCGGGACAGGGAGGGTTTAAAAAGCCGTAAGCACCGTTACTGGCTAAACGCACGCAGCAGACGGTCACGTGGACGTGGCCCGCGCTCGACGAGGCAGCGGAGGAGGCCCGGATGTGGGAGGCAGTCGAGGCCATCGATTGGCAGCGCCCACCGCCGATGCACCCGCGCGATCCGCGAGCCAAGTCGGCGAAACGCGTCGCGGAGACGGTCGGTCGCGAGAAGCAAAAGGCGACGCACGAGGAGGAGCGTGAGGCCTAGGAGCCCACGGAGGTTCTGGAGAAGGGGCCGTGGGAGTGGCCAACACCGCCGGAGACGTCGCGGGACGCGCCACCACCCCCGAAGCTTCCGCGGCAGTCCTCGTCCAAGGCTACCGTCGTCGCTCTCGCTGCCAGATTTGCTGCAAAAGCTGCAACTAATGCTGCAGCTGTTGTTGCCCTGAAAAAACTTTTCGAAAATTTTCTTTTTCAGGAATTTGCCGTTAAATATTAAAACACAAGAGGCAAATTTAATTCTTTTACAAATAATTAACGGATAATTAACGGGTGTACTGCTTAGCTTCATATCAAGTTAAAATAATTTACGGATAATTAACGGCAATTCCGTGTAAATAAAATTAAAAGGTTTTGTGTATATATCAAGTTAGCAAAGCATTGGATAACTTTTAAAACAATTGATCGGCATATTTTTTTCCCTTACAAATTATGGAAAATTAACGGCAAATTGTGGTTAAAAAAATTTTTTGATTTTGAAAGTTGTACTGCTACTTTCATGGACATGGCGGAAAAGTCGTCATCCGCAGCAGCCGAACGCGAAGGTCTGGAGCGGAAGGGTCGGCAGAACGACGACGCTGCCGCTGAGAATTATAGGGACGGAGTCGCCTCGATGACAGGCGGTCGACCGATATTTGCAATCGATGGGTACTAGAAAATACTAGATTTCTTAATGAACGGTCAAACCGATGCAGTCCTGGCAACTTATGACAACGATATCGATAACGGCAATGACAATGCTGAACCACACTATCGATAAACGCGAACGGGACGTGTTGAGTAGAGTGGCCAGACTACGGGAATCGAACTAGTGATTTCACAACGGGGAACTGTCTGGGCGGGAAATTCAAATTCCACCCTGGGAACTCTCTAGGGAACGAGATGCAGTTTTAGGTAAGTTAAAGTCTTCCGGGGAACTGTCTGGGTAACTGAGAAAGGGCTAACGCAGCGCAGCCGTGAGAAAGTTAAAGGACTTTCAGGGCGCTTGCTGAGGGAAGTCTTACGGAGAACAGTCTGGGAAAGTTTTGGGGAACTGTCTGGGGATCACAAGGAGAACGAGTTTGGCGGGGAATTTGACAGAACGAACTACAGGGGCGTGGAAATCACGTTTCCGAAGAAAGGGGGAAATGTGAGGAATTTTAATTTTATAAAAATGTTCTTGATAATAAAATATTATATTATATTTTCGGGAAGAAATAGTCTCGTAGGATTTGCTTTACATTTTCTTGAGCAGCGCGATGTGCTCTATTGTGCTCAGCAATTATGATTTATTTCTGTTCTGTTTTGTCAGTTATGTCCTGTGCGAAAGTTTTTGAATATTTGAAAGTAGTGCTCGGGAATCGTTCGATTAACGGATGTTGAATAAAAGCTAAGATTGGGAGGGAACAATGTATTGCATTAACTACCTCGGAATTTACTGCATCCCCTACTGTGTTTATTAATTCACTGCGGTCAGAGAATTTTATTACGTGTCTAGTTTTACTTTTGAATAGAATGAAATGGTCAACCGACGAACTGTTTCCTTCTTCGATAATTATCTGGTTTCTGAAACAGTTGACCGGGTTGTCTGTCGTGTCGATGGTATATGTTAATGACTGCTCGCTATGTATGGTTGCGGCGTCAGATTCTGGGATATCTTCTAAAGCATTTATATTTTGCCGTGACAACGCGTCCGCTACAAAATTTTCCTTTCCTGGTTTATAAATGACCTGTGCTCCATGGTCATCAATAATTCCTTTCCAACGTTTAAGTTTCGCGTTAGGATTTTTATCCGAAACGGCGAACGTTAATGGTAGGTGGTCTGTATAAATGCGTAAACCTTTTACTCCATATAAATAATTACGGAGGTTTTTAAGGGACCAGACAATGGCAAGTAGTTCTCCCTCGTTTGTCCCTCCGCCTTGCGACAGTACCGCCCCTAGACCTAAACCTGAGGCGTCTGTTGTCAAATCGAATGGCTTTGTAAAGTCAGGATATGACAATAAAACATCTTCCGATGCTAGGATCTCCTTTAATTTTTGGAAAGCCTCTTTTTGTTCTTTATTTAGATCAATATCAATTTTTCTTGATTGATATTTGCTCACTTTTCCATTTTCCCCTTTTAGGATTCCAGTAAGGGGCCCTGCGATAGATGCCAAACCTTTAATAAAGCATCTATAGTAACTCGCTAACCCCAGAAAAGATCTGAGGTCGAAGAGGGTTTTTGGTTGTGGGAATTCTTTGATAGCCCTGACCGGGTGAGGTTCGTAGGCCCCCTTCTGACACTATGAATCCCAAGTATTCAACGCTTTTTTTAAAAAACTTTGACTTTTCTTGGGATACCCTCATGCCTGCTTCTAGAAGTTCCTCGAGAACCCAGTGAATGTCTCTCACGTGGTCCTCTTTTGTTTTTGAAAAAATAATGACGTCATCGACATAAACGTAGCACGTCTTTGAAATTTGTTCCCTTAGGACGTCGTCGATGGCCCTCTGAAAAATGCTTGGAGCGTTTTTCAGGCCGAACGGCAGTCTACAAAACTCGTATTTACCGTTATTTATGGAGAAGGCCGTTTTCTGTCTGTCCTTCTCCGCTAATTCTATCTGGTGGAAGCCTGATTTCAGATCAAGAGTTGTGAAAAATTTTGACAGTATGGTTGATATTGTCGGAATGGGGTATCGTCATCCACCGTTTTCTGATTTAATTTTCTAAAATCGATAACTAATCGTTTCTTTTTTAAACCATTTTGGTCGGTTCCTTTTTTGTCTACGACCCAGTTTGGATTATTATAGGGTGATCTAGATGGCCTTAAGATGCCGTCCTCTAGAAGTTGTTTAACCTCTGAGTTAACGAATTCTGTCACACCCATGGGATGTGGGTACGTTTTTGAGTACACCGGCTCCCCATCTGTTTTTATTGTTGCAATAGTATTTATGTTGTAGGGTAAAGCCTCGTCTGGATCAGCGAAAGCTTTACAGTTTTTTTTAATCATATTATCAAAAGCGTTTTTTATTGCTTGATTTTGTTTGAAATATTGAAATCAAACATTTTTTTGTAATTTGTGTGTGGCCATGAATTAACCTTACATTGAACGGGTTGTCCACTTCCACGATGCCTTTAAGCGTCGGGAGATGCGCAATATAATTTTTTGATGTTCCTGTATCGATTAATAGTTTTATTTTTTGCCCTGCTAACCTACGAGTAATATAAGGGAGCAGGGAATTTATTCTAAA